GGCCGTGGGGGAGGCCGAGGAGAGCCGAGCGCTTCGGGTCGCTTTCCCCATCTCAGCCAAAATCCTCAGGAGCTGCTCCCTCGGCGTGTGTGCGCAGCGTCCTGCACAAACTTGGCTGGGGTTCCCCGCGGAGTTTCTGTGAGGGGACGAAACGGTAGCTTGAGGAAACGGGTCCAACCTTTCGGGCCTTGTAAACCGAGCCCGTCAGGAGGTGCCGCGTTGCTTGTGCTTCGCTGTGGAAGGGCGCCGCGAAGGAGCGCGCCCAAAGCCCAGTCCAGCAAAGACGGCTGAACCTTAAAAGGTGAGATTTCCTCCTAGAGCAAGAGCGCTGACAAGCGTGAGGAGTCCTCCCCAAACTGAGAGGAGGGGGCACAAAGTCAGGTCAGCGCTTTGCATGTGGGATCCGATCCCCTGGCATTACAGTAACCATGGCAGCTGTTGGCGTATTGAAGCCAGGCCACTTCTTCAGACCCTCCGGGGGACTTCCCTTAATGTTGTATTTGCCTGTTCAACAAATGCTTTTTGCACGCAGCCTCGCCGGCGGTGAGCGTTCTCCCCTTGCTACGCGAGCGCGGAGATGTGTGTGTGCGCGTTCTCCCCTTGCTACGCGAGCGCGGAGCCGCGCTATTGCGTGTGTGTGAGGAGATGTGGGAGGGCTGTGTGAGGGGTGACTTCAGCAGTGAAACTATTCCCTGCAACCTGGGCCTGGGTTTCTTGTGGTCACTGCAAGGGCAGCCCAGCCTGTCGCCCCCCACCTTCTCCCTGCCGAATCTGCCTGGAGCCCGTCCCAGAGTCCCTCCACTGACCCAGCCCCAGCTGAAGCATTGCTGACCTGTGTGTTGTGGTACCTAGCCAGCTCTGTGACTGGCTATTTACAGTAAAGACACAATATAGCTATTCTGCTTAGAAAAATAATAGGAAATTTGAGGTTTTCAAGTTCTTTCACTGCATTATTTATGATGCTATCTCCAAAATAATTTCAACTTCTTACGTTAAAAGGTTACTGCAGTGAGGGAAAAATATTTTCTTTCACTTTATTTTTGAACTTGGCAAAATGAGAAAAGCGGCGAAGGTAAATATTTTGATCTTTAAGTGGTTAGACAATTGAACTTTTATGTCTGTAAATTTTTTCACAACATTAGCAACAAGTAAACATTTTTCCTGTCACGTATTTTAATTGTGAATGCAGCAAGAATCTATCTGGATTGTATGTCCCTTCACATGCCCTCTGTACTGATAGTGGCTTTAATTTTAGTATAAACTAGACTGGCCTCGTCTAGAGAAGAAAACAATGTAGAGAAAATGGGAATTCCCCATAAAGTCAACTTTTCATTAATTAAAGTCTAATGTGGATGATTCCCTACTAAGTATGATGCTCAGACAGTAAAGTTTCATCTTACAAAGATAAAATAGCCTTTTCTCATTGCTCTAAATCTTAAAACCCAGAGACGTGCTTGAAAGTTGACAGTGGGCATAGTCAGTATTTGCCTGGACAACTCCTTCAGTTTTAATTTGCTTTTTGGACAGGTAGAGTACGCCACAGGCATGCCCGGGCATCTGGCCCTTCTGAGCAGTTTGTCATTGAGGCGGCAGATAACTAAACTGTAAACTCAAAGTGAAACCGTTTCAACGCTCGCAGATGAACACCTCTTCTCCTTTTTTGACCTCCTGATGTCCCTAGTTTAGGTGGGTTTAAATAAAGTGAGAAACGTATTGTATGCAATGCATACTTTTAGGTACACGCTAATGGTATGTATACATTGAAATACTATTTAATAGAAAGACAAGCAGCATCTGAAAAGCACATAAACCTAATTGATTCCAGACACAACTGCCCTGGATTTTGTTTCCTCTTATTCCAACTTTCTGACCTTGTAAAAATTATCTTGATTGTGTTATACTAAAACAAGGCCACGATTTTGCAAAAACTACCATGTGTGCTAGTGCTGAGGAGTACCGAGTAAAGCACTGTGTGTGGAACAAATGTTGACAACATTAGGCCCCCAGTTCGTTTGTTTGTTTTCCTTTGCTTATATCTAATCATGGTGAAGCAATAGTCTCACTTCTGCTAAAAGCTGAATCTGGGTTTTCGTTTTTAAAGGAGGTGAAAAATGTGTAGTAAAACTTGTGATTTGAGGTGAATGATAGGTTTTAAATTCTTACAGCAGTTTAAGCTACTGGGATTTTATGGCATTTAGACTAGGGGAAAGAACGGTGAGGGTTTAAAAATATCTATCACCTGTAATTTTTTCAGTACTTTTGTGTGTGTATGTGTGTGTGGTATCTTTGTTTTTCAGAACATTGTTTCTAGGGATTGGTAGGAGAGTTTCAGGACTTAGTGGCTTTGATGATAACCCTTACGATACCATTGTGCCTTTGGATAAATATGTAAAAAAGACCTAGGACAGCATAAATTGTTAGATGTGCTGCTGTCTTTGGCGCTGGAGAACTTCTGAGTGTAATTACATTTTCTGCTTGACAAAAACCCAAGGCCCAGGTACACTGACCCTTTTATTGCAATAATTGCTGCTGCTGCTGCTCCTGTAGTTTGGAATCTGCGGCTTGCTCGCCTTAAATCTCTGTGAAGAGTTGTGACAGAAAAATGTCTTTCCAGCTGTAAGTGTTGAGCTGAACATATGATCCCTCCCGTTATTCCTCTGAAGGCTCTCCTTTTGGTTTTTTCAGGATCAAGAATAAACTATGTATTTGTGTCTTTGTCAGCAAGGCTCCCATGGGGCAATCCTTGTAAGCACTGGGATTGCCTGTTTGCTGGCAAGGAGGCTTATAAAAAGCAGCTCCAAGTGGGAGTGGGCCTTTTCCTGCTCCTCCCTCCGTCCTGCTGCAATTCCCTTTCATCCAGGCCCTGAGAACTGCCTGCCTTTCAGACTAAGCTACAAATGTGAAAGAGTTGTGGTCGCTTGACCAAGATGTTAGGACATTTACTTATGTTGATTCATTGACATGTAAATGTTTTGGGGAGTTTCCTTGTATATAATGTAGCCCATCAACTTACGGTGGTCATACAACAGCAAATGTAACTTAAAAAATGAAGCCTATCTCTAAAGAAAATGAGCAGCTTTTATATGTCATTAAACTTGGTTTCTAAGAAGTTGGCATGGATAAGGCTGCCATCTTGTTTGGGCTTTCTAGCTCCCTTGTCAACGTTTCTTATTTCCCTACAGAATGGAAGGTGGAAATGGTGTGTGGTAGATCATTTATTAAATACAAAAAGCTGACGGCATGTGCAGTGTTCTGACCCAAAAGTCATGGTGGTAACCTACTACACCAAAGATTAAACAATAAATATTAGTGCTACTGTATCTACTGTCTTTATCTTCTAGCAACTGTTTTACTACTACTTTTCTGTTAAGTTGTAGAAGAGCTTCAAGTAAAATCGTGCCACTTTAGAAGCAGTGATATAATCTGTGCTCTCGGTGCGAAAAAACCAGCATGTTCTGGCTTGCATTTTTTACGAGAGAAAACAGTTGGTCCATTGCTTAAAAGTTGTGCCATTCAGTGCAGCCATCAGCCTGTGAAGTGCGACCTGTGGCGTTATAGATGCAGCGCACTTCCCCTCCCTCCTCTGCCACCCCAGGATGAAGGCACGAGGTCTTTCTGCCTTAACTGAAATAAGCTAGTTCTGTTCATCTGCCAAGAATGTACAAGTAAATATAACGATTGTGTAAGTGGCTTGCAATGCCCAAAGCATAAACAAACTTGTGCATAGGAAAGGTGAGTTTCTGGCAGGTTTCCAGGGGAGTTCCCTCAGCGCTGCAGAGCTGAGGCGTTCCTCTTTAGGGATAAGGCAAATTTTAGATATTTACGCAAGACAGAACCAGAAAAGGTGCAGAATGGAGGGATACGAAATGAGGCATCTGGTGGTGGTGCTTTTAACACTGACCTGTGGCTCTAGACTTATTTCTTCACGATTGGCACTCAGCGGTATTGAACACCTCTACTTTCAAATCATGTCAGCATGAGTGACAAGTACGCAGCATCTTGTAGAATCAGATCTAACGTTTCTCCTGTGAAGTGTGTGGATGAAGCGAGGTGTTTATCTGTACGTTGGTATTACCAGAGTACATTTTGTTAAATTCAGATTATATTTAATATTTGTAAGGTTCAATTAACTGTGTTGTTTTAAATCCTTCGATGATCGAACTCTACTTAGCCAGGTAGTTGTTTTTTTTCTTGCTGTGAAGTGCTGCACAAGGGATACGCGTTTGGCTGGATTGTGAGAAACTGTGAAGATCGTACAAGCAAGTTGAAGTCCTTACTTGTTTGCTGAATGTATCTCGCACTTTTTGAACATCCCAGTACCCACAATAATTAATGCAGCCTACAGTGTCAGTGCATTATCCTTTTCCTCCATATTATGCCGTTTCCATAGAGTATTGATTCATATTCAGCTTTAGCCCTTCTCTTCAAGTGTTTTGTGCCAATGAAATGAAGACCACAGCTGACAACTTCGCTGCTCTGTCACGGCAGAACTCTGTTAAGCTTTAAACTTAGCTATATATGAAACCGTTTTCTCAGGGGTGGGTCTGAAATAGTGAAAGGAACAATTTATTTTACTTTTTCTCCTCTATATGCAGGTACAGTGGGTTTATGGATGTCCCTCTATCCTTCTGGAACTAAATTTTCCATGCTCGCCCTTCTGGAGGGAGGAAGGACAAGATAGAGAGGGAGAGAGGCAGAAGAGATGTCACCAGTTACTCTGCTGTAAGGCACCAAGATACTACCATCGTAAATGCGGTGTAAGAAAACACAGAGAATAATATGGATTGATGTAATGCAGAGCACGTTTATGAATTACATAAACATCTGCATTACACCAAGCTGGGAGGATGGTGACCACTATGGATGATCAGCTCAGAAATCAAAATGAACTCGATAAAAGCAGAAGTGAAATTCAATTAAAACTATCATCAATTTCTTGCAGAAATCAAGGTAGATGGTTATAGGGGGTTTGTAGAGAATCACTAACAAAATAGCAATGGACAACGCAATGCTTTTGCAAAATGCAATGCTCTCTTAGGATTTATCAATAGGTGGCATATGTAGGTCAGAGAAAGATGTAAAGATGACTCCACTAAGCACCGGTAAGGCCTCAACTGCAGTATTGCCTTCGGTTTCATGTTCTGTGCTGAAAAATAAAGTACAGGACAGGGCAAGAAACAGTAAGAGATGTAGAATATAAAAGGAAATGGTGAAGGAAGGGAGGATGTTGAGCCTGAAAAATAATTTTTAGAGGGAATTGGATAAATTTTCCAATGTGTAAAAGGTTAGAAGAGGTTTGATCAACTGTTTTTGAATGCTGGGGCAAAGATGAGATAAATCAGATCTGTACAGAGGGAAGATGTCTCGGACTGGGTATTAGGAGGGTGGGAGGATGATTTAAATTGGATATTAGGAGAGTGGGGGGAGATGCAACAACAACTTTTAAATCGTTACAGTGAAATACCAGAACAAGCTACTTAGGAAGTTCGAGTATCAGCTTCACGGAGGGTTTCTAAGAACAGGTTAGACAAACATCTGTTGGGGATTGTCTGGGGCTACTTTATCCTGTCTTTGTGCGGCCGGGGGGGACAGATGGTCTCTTCAGATCCCTCTCGGTCCTCTTCCTAGAAGTTTACCAAGCGGGGAGGGGAGTGGACCTCAGTTTAATGAGAAAACGGTATCATCCTATTAGTTGATCCTCTTTCAGAATAGAAAAAGAATCGGAGAGAAACCACATCTAACTTAACTATGTAAGTAAATGTGGGGGGTTTTTTAATTGTCGTTGACTTGCAATTTTGTGAAGCATTTACCAAAAAATACACGGGAAAGTCATAAAACTTAACACATTTAAGGTGTTCTTACTGCATTTGTAGTGCAACAGTTTAAAGAAACAATTTTAAATGCATCTTTTTCTCGATGAACGTAAGTAGCAAAAAATAACAAGTTTATAAGTATTTTCCAAGGATATTATAAATGTGTGTTTGGCCGTGGGTTTTAAATTGCCTCCCATTTTAAAACAAGTAACGACTACATGCGTAGGTATTTCTGACCGTACCCGAGAATGTTGCACCTGGGTGCTCCCTGCATGTGCAAACCCAGGAAATAATTGTGACAGATCACTCTTGCTCCCCAATCCACAGAAGGAACAAGTTATTCAGTACCTGCTCTGAAAAACGTGTCTTGAAGGAAAGCTGAATGGAAATGTGAAAGTCAGCACCTTGCTTCCTCAGCAGGTGAACTCTGCGACTACAGCGGCGTTTCCCTCCCTCCCTGCCTCCCCCGGGCTGTGCGTTGGGAAGTTCCAGTGAAATATAGCTGCTGTGGAAAGTCCTGCTCACGGCGAGGAGACGTGACCTCTCAGCGAGTCAGATCCAATTTTACAGGCAGCTCTGAGTCAGGGTGGAGCCCGTGAACTGAACTTTGTATGTAAGAAGGAAGTGATGTTGGTGGCAGCTTGTGTTGCTAAGCAGATGAGTTGCTGTATTTTTATGTCAGCTGATAGTTTCGTCGGGTGTGTGACTTCATTCTTAGATATGATGCCTTCCATTTATTAAGGACAAAGGTCAGAAATTGTCAGCGCTGTGATAGCTGTGTCTCTCCATATAAGAAGAGGCATGTTCTACTGAGCCGTCAAAGATGGAAATGGGAGTCCTTAATGCTGCTTCTGCATGCTGAAAACAAAACCGACCGTGAAACTGTCAGTTCATGTCATGGTCCAAGAGCGAACGTCCTCACGAGCAGGGATGTCGTGGAGTAGGTCAGTTCCTTGGTGACACTCCATTTTTATGAGAACTCACTACTGTTCCTGATTAAAGAGGTGGCGTGTCTAACCAAGTGTCTGGTCTCCAGTAGTAATGGGAACTGGGGGGCTGAGGTGAGCAGTCGGGCACTGGCCTGTTAAATCAGAATTTAGATGGAAAGCTAAGCGATCCTGCCTCTTACTTCCGTAAAGTAAGTGGTGAGTCTACTTGGGAAGGAGAGCGAGTTGTTTATCACCTCTGTGCCGCTGGCACTCCAGCGGGTGCTGCCTTCCGGCTGTCCAGATCGTCACGGGTAAGTGGCAGTACCCGGGCAGCGTTTCGGAGAGACTTGAGGGGGAGAGTGCAGGCAGGTTTGGGGCAGCTGCCCGCAACTGTGTGTGTACCCACACAACCCACAGTGATGAGTCACGGTGTGCTGTCTCAGGTGGCATTTCCACCTATTCCCCCCTTAAGGTCTTTGGTTACATCCTTGAGTTAGCCGTGAGAGAGCTATATGTTGTTATCCTCGTTCTGAGAGCTATTTATGTATCAGAAAACTTCCACAGAAAAGAATGGATTTGGGGAGTAGTAGTAATTCTTCTTGTTGTTGCATGCCGGAGGGTGAGGCAGCGGGGAACGCTGACGTCCCTCAGAGAGCTTTGCCCCTATAAGGCCTGGCAGGTGAGTGGCATGTGGACACGAGCTGCTGGAGCTTGCTGCCCCTCTGCTTTTCTGGTTCAGTTCCTCAGTTAAGGAGTTCCCGGCCACAGAAGTGGCTGTTTGGGCCAGTTCCAGCTTTTGTCACTCTGGCTGGCTTGAGTTTCCAAAAAAAACTCCACAAAAAACCAGCCCACACAACTGCACACCCTGGCTTGCCCTCTGTTCCCTTAGCTTGCTGGTGCCACAGGGTGGCTCCTTGTAGCACTTGTATTTCTAACGCTTTTAGCTTTTCAGCTGACATCGTTAAGGTTGTTCTTTCTCATACGAGTCTACTGCTTCCTGGTACTAACCAAAATCCACGTGCTCTCAGTCTTTCAGCGTGCTGTACATTGGTGAGCAATTTCTTCTAAGAAAGGAATATTGTTTTCCTTTAGCATATGGCACATCGTTACTGTCTGTGCCCTTCTGGCCACTTCACCCTCTCAGTCTGGTGTGCTTCCATTGCTGCCTAATTTTTGAGAAACTTTGAGTAAAACTTTCACTTGTGAAAGAAAAAGAAACCATTTGTCTTTTTTGCTTCATTTGGCTGAAACAATGTTCAGCGATGAATAAAACGCGAGTGTGTGTCAGGGTCGTGCGATTTCGGAGCCACTTCCCACCAATCATGGGAGAAAACATGATGCCTTGGTTTGTTTGAGGCCGTGGACTGGCATCCCAAATACCAAGCCTGAAGGGCAGCTACTCCAAGCACAAGCTTGGGCTCCTGGTGCAGTTTCGCGTCCCTCCTTGCACAAACAGAAGTAAAAGAAAGGCTGTGAGATGAGAAGTTGTTGAGGTTTGGGTACATCTGTACAGAATTTCCCTGGGAGCTGCAAGTTTCCTTCATCGAAGCAAAAAAAGCCTTTTGGAAGAAGCCGGCTGGAGGGTGCGGCACAAGGACGGGTACTTCCTGTTGGAGCTGATGCAGGGCTCGGACCATCGGAGAGCTGAGCAGGTGATGAAGCGGGTGTACTTAACAGAGCTTTTCTCAGGCAGGGTGGGTTGCTCTGAGCTCACTGTGCACGGTCCCCAGCATCAGCAGCTCTCAAACAAGCCAAGTGCCTGGACTGGGTTGTCAGAAACGAGGCGCAGACTGCTGGGGCCTTGCGGCCCGAAGGCCTGCCTGCGCACGGCTTGTGCGGGGACTTGGCATCGCGAGATGTCATCTGCCGCCTTCGGAAGCGACAGCGTCTAGACCTTACGATCACATTTCGCTGTACCTGCCTTTTAAAACAGCTGCTGGTTCTTCAAAGTCTACTGAATAAATAACCTTCCTTTGTGTTTTCGTGTGGTACTAAACCATTTGCATTTTGCAATACTGATGTTTTAAAACAGATGTAAATGCCGCTCGGTAATCTCTGTGCTGTACTTCTTACGGAGTACATTAACTTGTCTCTGCGTAATTATGCCTGTCATACAGTGACTTGCTTGGCTTTGTACAAACTATCCCCACCTTGAAAGTTTACCTAGCAAGGCAAAGTGTAGCAATTCATTGGGATTTTGTTGGTACACATACCCTTGCTCTGCAACTGCTGTTGAAATTCTCGGCCATTAATGCAAATTCTTTCTAATCTGCGAGCCAAATGGCTGCCTGCATCAGATGGATTACTTTGTCCCAACAGCATACAAAGGGTTGGGTGGCTACAAGTGAATTTTCATCCCCGTCATCTCGTGGATATTTTAATAAGCTGTTACCAATAAGGTTAATCATGAAGACTGCCACGTCGCTGTTTCCTCACTCTCCTACGGAGCTGCAAAGTGCTCGTTGATAACTTGGGGAGTTACGACTTTCTCTTTGGGGACTGGCTGAAGCATGACTTAAGGTTCCAAAACTTTTTCCTCCGTAGCAGCTACGCAATGATGTATTTCATCCGTGCCTGGTACTACGGTCGAGTATGCACGTGTGCGAGCACGTGCCACACCGGGACAGCGTCCCACCTTGGAGTGGTGAAACCCCTGCAGCACTTTTCCTGACTCTCCGTTTCCTACCGTTGCTGAGGAGTTGGAGAGCGGCCGTGACTCTCCCCGTTCTGTGAAAGCGCCGTTTGCGCATTGTTTCTTCTAATGCTGGAAAACGTTGGGAGACTCCCTTCACGTTTTCATTACCCGAGTAGTCAGCCAGCTGATTTTATAGGCCACAGGTCCCTGGGGATGATTTATGGGACCCGGGGAGCTGGTTCTGTGCCTTCAGCAAGAGGCATGCACCAGAGACTGGGACTTTTTTTTGCCTTGGAACAAACATTTAACTAAGTACTTACACGTGTCCCCCGCCTTGTTGCTGGTGCCATGCTGATATACTTCTTTTTTAAAGAAATGCTGCGTTTCTTTCTTTGCCTTACGCTGTCACCACGATACTCTTTAAACACTTTTCATGCTCGGAAGCTTTGCAATCTGATTTCTGCTCAACAAGAAACTGAAACAAGTTTCTAGGGGGAGCCGTGAGGCTGCTGGCAGTTGGTCTCAGAATGAGTTTCTCCTGCCCCTAAATCTTGGAGAACTTAAATCTTTGAAAGCAAGGGGAGTTCCAGGCGAGTTTACGCTACGCCAGGGTGCTTGGCTGCCAGATTAGGGGCGCAGTTAAATGATACACGCAGAAAAACAGACTTGCGGGTAAGTGTTTGTAGGCTGTCTCTGGTCTGTCAACACACTGCAAGAGAAAACTGAAACTGATTACATTTAGTAACTTGGGAGGATACCTCTGTGTAGTTGTTGGTTTGGTTTTTTGGTTGGTTTTTTTTTTTTCCTCACAAAGTAGAGAAATGCATGTTAAAAATAGAGCGATTGTAAACCGAGCAAATTTGGTGAAGGTATACTCGGGGCACACGTGCTGCTTCAAAGTTTTTTTTTTTTAAAACACTATTTCCACTTGCTATTTTTAACTTTATGGAAGAGCACGGTGAAGAACAGGGAACGTATTATACCGCACCGTCACGTGCTATCAGCTTTTCAACACGTTTTTCAGTTGAAAGCATGGGACGGCGTCACCTCCCCGGCTGCTGGCCCCTCTCTGTGTGACTGCGCGGGCCCGGCTGCACGGGAGGTGGTGACGCCTCTCCATCCGCGAACCGTCCCTTCTCCCAAAAAGGTGCTTTCCCCCTAGACCCAAGAGAGATTGAGTAGGCCAGACGTGAACGACATGATGTGGGACAGTTTCAGGCTTCCTCTGGAGAAGCCTGAAATATTTTTGTGGCCGTAGCGGCCCTCACGGCACAGCACCGACGCGGACGCCTGCATCGACGGAGCCAATGACCCAAGAAGCGAGAGGAGCGTTTGACATCCACGTTGTCTGGGTCCGGTTCCTGGCTTACTAACTGCGTGTTAAGAGCGTAGAGGAAAAGCCGCGCGGGATCCTACGAAGACATCTCTCTCATTCCCACAGAAGAGGTATGAGGGTGGGTGCAGCAAACAGCCCCCAAAAAGGAGGGGTGGGAGGGGGAGGGTGCCCCTGCTCAGCAGCACAGGACTTTGTTTTTCCTTCTCCAACCTGCTGCAAACAGCGATGGTAAAAAGTTACCTCGTCAAATGACTCGCTGAAAATTCCTATAATGCAGAGTGTCTTTACACTGGGTTTACATTTTAATCTCTTTATACTTTTAAGACGCTTATTTAGTTTCCAGAGCGATGCAGGGAAGACCGTTAAGCGTGCTACTGGTAATCACTTTTTGGTGGGATTTGTCTAATTTACTTACGGAATGAGTTTGTTTCGGTTTGTATCACGAATTTGAACGTATAGTTTACGAACACGACAGCAGCAGGGCTCGGCAGCCTTCCCCATCCCCGTCCCGCTCCCGGCGCGGCGGGGCGCGGCGGGGGGAGAGCGGTGCCGCCGGGACG